GCAATGTTTCTTTCATGTCTTTTTTCTTTGGCATCTTTCCTATCTATCATGGAAAGTAGTTTTCATTTTAAGATTAAAAATACTTTTATACATCAGAAACTTTTGAAATTTCACATGCAAAATATTTATAATGTCCAGATAGTTATCAAACATTTCTTAAGAAAAAACTTTAGATTTTATACATTATTTTCAGTAATTATCTTCTTTCTTTGGAACCGATATTTCAATGAGGTAGGGTGTCTTTAGTCTGCTTGAAATTTCATATTTTTTTTAGACTAAAATACATCTTAGTTACTAAGCTTGATAAATTATAGTGGAATTCTGTGGTACTAATGTAGTAATTTACGATTTTTTAATTATTCAAATGTATATATAAAACCTAAAAAAAATATTTTGTTTCGTATCCTCCATGTGCAAATTTTTTAAAGACTTAGCAACCTAAGTCAAGCAGCAACAGAGTATAAAGGTTGCAACTAGAAGAGATAATTGTTTGCTTTATTTCTTTATTTACTGTTCTATGTTTTAAGAAAAATAACTAAGAACTTATTTCAAAATAGCAATAATCTATATAGATATATAATGTATAATAATTGAAATGTGACTGTATTTTACAAAATTCTAGTCTACTAAAACCCAGCCAAGACAAGTTACTTTATACAGACCAAAGATTATTTTTATGTTATTTGATACAGTAACATGAGTGCATGCGAGTTGTGTCATTGTAACTTCTGTATTGTTAGCCAGGCACAACTGAAAAATGATTATAATAAAAATAATAAATATATATACATGTATAATGTTATGAGATTTAAGCTATTTAGGTTAAACATTTATGTTTTCGTGTTATAAGCTGTGTTAATTCTAGAATGAAAGAGGCATAATATATATTTATTTCCTAATTTTTTTTGGAATAGTTATAGCATGAAAACTATAACAAGCAGAAAATGGTTACGAGGTTGGTCCCAGGGACTGAACCAGTGCTGAAAGAGTTAATAAGCCCAGACCAAGAGGCATCACCTTTTGAAGAGCAAGAAGGACTAAAACATTATGTAGGTAAGCCTCATCGTCAGTGTGTAGACCCTGAAATTCCTGTCTGTTGGGATATGTTGAAGCAAGGTATTCATGATCTCTGGACTAGATAGCGGCAGACGAACCCATATCTTAGTATTGTCCCAATTTAACAACCCCTTGAGATCAAAGAATGATCCTGAATAAGGAAACTGGACAATTCAGTGAATCTATGTTTATGATCCCTTGGTTGCATAAAGACCACTGACAGGATCTCTTGTGTTCTCACCCCAAAGGCATGAGGGATTTGAGTGATGCCCACATTCCCAAAAGAGAAAGAACCATCCGTGCAGTGGGAGAAAGAGAGGTGAGTAAGAATTGGGCTTCATGTTCCATAGCATGGAGCCGGATAGGAGTCAGCTGAGTCCGACTGAGAGACGAGATAAAAAATAAAAAAATACCCAGACATATTGAGTTGGAGCAAGAACATATGTCTAGCTCTGAGAATGAAGCCTGCCTAGGTTGTTTCTGAAAATAGAATCCAGGTGTGACAATTGACGAAATGATGCTAGCAGTAACCAGTTGTCCACTGAATGGTGTGTGCACAGGGCTAGGGAATGGAGGTTACGAGAAAAAGCTTACGAGTCGACCGAACCCATCTGGTGCTGATACTAGTTCAAAGGTAAAAACCCTGAACTCCAGTACCTGAC